CTTTGTAACTGTTACCGCTGAAACGGTGAACCTATCTCCGACACTCCTCCCAGTCGTCGTAGACTCCGGGAACCTTACCCTTGTACACGACATACGACGGCATCTCTATGCACAAGCCAGACAACAGACAATACATAAGCAATATATAAGTATGCAACAAAAGGATCGGAAGAGAAAAGCAAGACATTAATAGCACGATTCATGGTCCTACTAATAAATAACATCTATTACATCTAAGTTGAACGACTGTCCAAACCAAAGAGACATACAAGTTCATTAAAGTTTAATTACAACATGAGCTAATCGATGTTTCAGAACTACAAATAGCATCACTACTTTTGACTCGACTCATGGGACCGGAGCGTGGATGAAGTCGCCGTCTTTCGTGATGGTCATGAAGTCACGGGCGTTGTCAGCCTGCATTTGAAGTGTTGTGTCTATCTCACTGTTGGACGGTTGCTCTCTGAGGTAGAACTGCCCGAGGTACGAAGGACATCTTGATGGATGATTTCTGCAAACTCTAACTGGATGCGAAAGAATTCTTGTCGGAGGTCCGCGTCCTGGATTGCCGCCAAGCTTGCGGCCCAATCTTTGACATTATTTGGTAGCAGAAGGTGATTATGGTCCCGTACGATCGCCCTCATGTGATGGAGGGCGTAGTAGGCATTCTTCTGACCGCCAGGCGGCTGCTTGACGCAGGGGAACGCCATATTATGGGTGAACACGTGCCTGCCGTACCTACGAACTGGCCTCTTAAAGGTGCCTCCAGATGTGGCGTAGCCGGGGAGAGCATCATCAAGAACTTTCTTGATATTTGTGTAGTCTATCTTGGAGTCACTGTCCGGGTCGAAATAGGTGGCCGCGGAATATTTCGGGCTTAAGAGGATGAGTGTGCAATGTGTGTCACTGCACAGAACACGAAATGTTAGAAAAAAAAAGAACGATCGAAATCTAAGAAATCATATGTTACGGGGCGGTGAGGGGATGACTTACTCGGGAAAGTAAGGCACGAGGAAGTTGTCCTTATCTAGGTTTGCCAGAATGACGCCTTCGAGGTGTGAACTTGCGACTTGCCGGTCCCCAATGGCGCCGGAGCGGGAATTGTAGCGAAAAGATGACATATTTTGGAAAGTCAAACTTTTTCTTCAAATTTTTGATTTTTGAAAAATCAAGATATTTATCCAAATTTTGGATTTTATGGAAAAGGGGAACATTTTTTTGGAAAACATGATCATGTTTTGAGTTTTGAATTTCCCAAACTATTTTGAAACACGTTTTTTCTTAATTTGCAAACAAATTTTAAAACTTCGAACATTTTTCAAAATTCAAACCAATATTCAAGAACACGACATTTTTTGAAATATCAAATAATTTCTGAAAAGCGAAACATTTTGAGATAGAAAAAAAGAAGCTGAAGAAAAATCAAAAAAAGCAGAAAAATAAAATAAAAACAATAGAAATCAGACGGGAACTTCCAGAAGGATCCCAAAACCGGGGAACCAGTGTACAGTTCAATGGCCCTGCCTGTTTCCGTTGCTCGCTCGGCATTCGGAATGCGAGAAATAGGAAATGCCGCAACGCCCTTCCCCTCCCAAATTTTCTTTTTGAGTTGGGCATCCCAATATTTTTGGCATAAACACCCCCAAGTTTTATTAGGAATAACTTGAGTCCAAAAAGGAATACAATTACTCCCTTCGATCCATATTAATTCTGAGTGATTCAGTACAACTTTATATTAAATGAGCAACAGTTAACATGGATCGATGAAAGTAATGTTCCATATTAATTCTCGGTGATTTAATACAACTTTGGACTAAATCGGCGACAATTAATATGGATCGGGGAGTAATTTATTAATAGCAAAACATAATATTTTTTGCAATACATACCTTTTTCATTGGTTTGTTCAAATTAATTGGAAGATTGATATACTCATGAGGTATTTTTGTATCAATCATGGCTATATATATGCACCATCCGCATATGATTTGTTATAAAAAACAAGACATATACGACAATCGTGCCGAAAAAAACCATGATGAGGCATTGGCAAGCTCCCTCCTGTCTCCTCGTCCTCCTCTTCGCCCTCGTTTCCTCCGAGGCTTCCACTCTAGAGATACATGCAGGTCCATCGGCGCAAGCAAGAAGGACATCGGCTACGACTACTGCATCAAGTTCTTCCAGGCCGACAACGCCAGTGCGACCGCGGACAGGCGCGGCCTTGTCGTCATCGCCACTAAGATCACCCGAGAAGAGGCCGCGAACATCCGGAAGCGGATCGATGCCCTCAAGGCCTCGGGGACGGACAAGAAGGTCAGCGGGCGCCTCTCCGACTGCCGCATGCACTACACGAACGCGCTGAAATGGCTCGAAGCCGCGGCGGAGGGCGTCAAGTCGGGTAATTTGCAGAAGGCGAAGATGAACCTCACAGGCGTGATATTGGGCACCGACACCTGCGAGGAAAGGTTCCGCGAGCTGGGTGTCGTGTCGCCGCTGGCCGCCGAGGACGCCGAGTTCTCCAAGGGCTGCTCTATCGCTCTCGCCATAACGACCATGTTGTAGCTAGCTAGCCGCCGAGGATGTGTGAACCTGGTAACAGCTCTGGCTTCGAGTCCATGATCATTTGGATCGACCAATAAACTCTTGGAACCTGCAATTCCAGATCAGTGAACTTTGCAAGTATGTTTGGAGGAAAATCCTGTTTTCTTATAGAATTGAATTATTATCGAGCTTATAGAATTAATTTTGTGATTTCCTTTTTTTTCTAAAGCTTATAGAATGGAAATACTCCATCTGTCCATGTTTACATGCAGCCACACTTGTCTTATGGGGGTCCTAACTGGGTTTAGTGCCATGCCTCTTGCCGGTGCCTTCAAAGAGGGAAGGTCATGAACGCGCGCTACCCTGATCAGATAGGCGGACATAAGCCTTGCGAGCCCGAGTTTGGTTATGTGCACATGTCCCCGTTTGAGATCGTTTATTGTTTTGCCACGATGATGGCCATTGAGTGTGCGCACAGTTTGCGTACGATTGTGGTGATGGAGGAAATAATAGATTTGGCCCATTAATGTTCGTCTTATTTAGGAGATCTGATGCCATAAGAGTATCTACAACCAGACCCTCGGATCCGCCGTAAACGCTCGAGCGGGCTGCCCGTCACTGACCGGACGAAAAAAGTAGTATCCAACCGGGTTCCACAGCCGGCCCAAACGTCTGGACTGCCCGTGCACTGTTTTGACCAAAATGATCGACACACATGTTTTTACATGTATTTGATGTTTTAAAAATAGGGTTTATGGTTGCAAATAGCAAAATTCTGGTCACTTTGTGTTTGTGTTTGTGTTTGCATGTGAGGCATGTCCGATCACTTTCTGCGGGCATGTCCGCAGACGTATAGGGATCCGGATTAGGCAAATCTGGCCTTAGATGCTCTAAGGGAGAGAAATGCACAGTAACTAATTTTATTCGCAAAAGATGCATGAAAAATAATTAAGTGCATATCTCTATCTCTATCTTCTACTCCCTCCGTTCCTAAATATTTGTCTTTTTAGGATTTCAAATAGACTACCATATACGGATGTATATAGATACATTTTAGAATGTAGATTCACTCATTTTACTCCGTATGTAGTCACTTATTGAAATCTCTAGAAAGACAAATATTTAGGAACGGAGGGAGTATAAATCTATCTCTGGCTCTTCTATCTGTATCTGTATCTTCTCTATCTTCTATCTCTCTATCTCTAGTTCCTCTATCTCTTAGTGACACAGCAGGAAGGGTTTGCATTAAACTGAAGGTCACTCTCTGATCTTGTTGTGTTGGGGTGTAGTCGTCCAGATCTTGCCGGATGAGAATGTACATGCCGGATGAGAATATTACTGGTTTGCCCTCTCACTACAATGTGTGATGCTCGATACAGTTTCGGGCTTCGAGCCCGGGTTACATTGGTCATTTCCTTCTCCGATCGGTCCGCTGGTTTGATTGCTTCCGATCGATCGCTATCTGACGAGCGGCCAAGTCCATCAGCCAGGAGGCGGCCGCACGGCACCTAGCGGCGCAACGCCAAGCAGTCAGGATCGACTTGCACGGCAGCGGCGCCAACGCTCAGGCAATGAGGCAAGTCAGGCTGCTGAGTGCGATCGGGATTGGGGCATGACCGTGACACGCCATCTCGTCACGAATTTACCATCAGGTTTTTCCTCAAAAAATTCACTATCAGGTATACACCCTAACAGAACACCAAACCCATTTAATTTAGTCCATTTTCTCTATCAAATACGTATTTGGATGATTATGAAAGTGCATCTACTAATTTTGTTCTCGTACGTCATCTTTCATGTACATCAGTACATGTGCATTATAGTTCAGCTTTTGCATACTTCCAACCCACGTCATCTGCAGACCGGCCGGGTTAGACGGGAATCCTGATCATCGAAATCAGAAGCTGCAAAAGAGATAAAGATAATAGGTTTTAACTCAATTTCAGAAGGAAAAAAAAAGCTAGGTAGTGGTTTATATTATAAAACAACCATAATTTCCGTCTAATAATCAGATATTGCACTTGATGTTAATGTTGCAGTTAAGATTTTGAAGACATTACCCGTTCAAGCAACAGGTACAGTACTCAGTCCATCCCTGTTATAATTACAGTACAATTACATTGTTATTACTCTTAGCACTTAAATTTGAGCTTTGTCGTCCAGAGATTTGCTTCGTCCTCCTCCATCTAATCAGTTATTCAGTTACCTACACGACTAGCCCAGCCGGCGTAGCAGCAGCGCCGGAGTCGCAGTCACCGAGCTCCACGATGAGGTCCACGCCCCCGGCGTCTACAGTTAATCATACCCGAATTTCCCATCCAGCAGACGCCACCTGAATTTCATTTCCTAGAGGATCCTCCCTACGTCTCTCTCTCTCTATATATATATCGTGATGTCGTCTCCCTCCACGTTCAAAAGACAAAACGTCTGACACAACCACCACTAAAACCAGCGCAAAGATGATGAGGCCTTGGCAAGCTCTCTCCCAGCTCGCCGTCCTCCTCCTCTTCCTCCTCGTCTCGTCCAGCGCCGTCTCCACTCTGGACGACACCTGCAAGTCGGTCAGCGCGAGTAACAAGGACGTCGGCTACGACTACTGCGTCAAGTTCTTCCAGGCGTGCAAGGGCAGCGCCACCGCGGACAAGCGCGGCCTGGCCGTCATCGCCACGAAGATCATCCGAGCGGCGGCCGTGAGCACCGGCAGGCGCATCGCGACCATCAAGGCATCGAAAGGGGACGACAAGAGGATCCAGGGGCCGCTCGCCGACTGCGACGAGCTGTACTCGAGCGCCGTGGACCAGCTCGACGCGGCGGCGAGGGGCATCTCGTCGGGGAAGTTGCAGGACGCCCTGACGAACCTCAGCGCCGCTGCGGACGCGCCACAGACCTGCGAGGAAGGGTTTCGCGAGCTGGGCGTGAGTTCGCCGCTGGCCGACGAGGACTCCAAGTTCAGTAAGGAGTGCTCCATCGCTCTCGCTGTAACGAACACGTTGTAAGCGACAAAGTCTATAATCATTTGGATCAAATATAATCCTGTATGGATCGTGGTGAACTGACATAGCTGTCATTAAGAAAACGGCACACAATTTGCGGACGATATCATGGCCATCAAAGCGAATGCATGCATGAACAACCATCGTGCATTAATGTTTGTCAATGTCCAGGAGATCTGACGGCATGGGATGAGATGCCCATGCGCGGCACGCTAACGAATTTTGTACGCAAGAGGTGCTTGCCAGATAAGTGCAAGATTATATTATTGTTGCCATTTGTTGATTAGCAAGGCAATAAAATACGCCCACACGTATTAGTTGCCACATACATCAAAATAGCGGAGGTCGGTATCCTTTTGTTTAGTCATATCATTTTCAAGTGTTTTATGTACAGCGAAACGTCATGATGGATGCAGAACAAATCTGATAGTGATACCGGTAGCACATGATGGATGCATGGGTCATGCTGTGTCCGGCGGCGGCGCCGAAGCCTGCAGGTGGCGCCAGCCTCACCGCGGGTAAGGTCCAGCCACGAAGGTCATGTCCAGTCAGGCAGTCAGCATCGTCGTGAGCGGATTGAGGCGTCAAACCAGCATGCGCGCGCGAACGTTTCGAGTCGAAGGTGCAAACTTCACAAAAATTGGCTATAATTTTAAGCTTACGATAATCCTAAATTATACTGTGTGGGCCTCATGATTTTTAACCAAATGTTACCGTGTACTCGCTTTGTAAAGAAATATAAGACGTTTTAAATCACTACTACTTTTTAGTGATCTAAAACGTCTTATATTTATTTATGGAGGTCATATATTTCTCTACAGAGCAAGTTTGTAAGTTTAAATCTATCCGTAATTGTAGCATGAGCAACGCTATTTATATGTACAGGCTCTACAAAAACTTCTACGCACTAGTTCATTGGTTGGGTAAAAACATGGGAGCAGTTAAATGAGAGTAGTACGCACGGATTTTGTAAAACCATTACATAAGAATTGAATTTTCCTTGTGGTATTGCCCAATTCCTTGACCTGGCTGGTTATAATGGGGAGTATCACATACCAGTATCATGCATATGATACTAGTGTATGATACTACATCCGTAATGCAAAATATCATATGTTGGTATCATAGAATACTATATTTATTACCATGCATAACACAAAGTAGCACATCATTTAATATGATACGGTATCATGAAATGATAATCAATGTCGGAGTAATGGGCCACGGGTAGGCTAACCCGAGCCCCAGAACCTTTCAAAACATCGGGGCAGACTGCGCCCCTCAAGACTCCGCGATAAGGAGCCGCCTCCTGGGAGTCGGCGGCAAGGCTGCCGATTGTCCCTCACTGCCGAGTCCCAGGGACGGCTTCGAGATATGTTGACTCCTGTTGGCGGCTTCCAGAGAAGCCGGCTATGGGGAGTCGGCCCGCGACTCCGACTATCCCTGGCGGCCGAGTCCCAGGAACGACTTTAAGATAAACCGACTACGGGAGTCGGCCCGCGACTCCGACCGCCCCTGCCTTCGCCACGACGGGCGGGGCGGGGTACAGTCACTGCGTGGCCGTCCCTGCCCCGCTTACGAAGGACTGGCATGGCTACAGTGCACCGTATCGCTGGAGATCTCCATCGTGGCGCGGCACTGTTGCCATGCCCGCCCTGACCTCAGCCCCCGTGGGCGGCGCACTGTGCCCACGACGGCTTACATGTACGGCCCAGAGATGGCGGGACCCGCCCGTCAGCGGGAGGAACAGAAGACGGCGAGAGCACCACAAAGACGGACCCGTGGGAGTCGGCCCCCTGGAGTCGGCCGGCCCCTCCCACGGGCCCCGCACGCCATTAACCAGACAAGACGGGGAATGGCGACAGTGATCATCCGCCAGGCGGCGGCACTGTTGCCACGACCCCATGACCAAGCCCGCGTCATTGGAAGCACGACTACAGTACCAGGCCTGTCGGCGGGGCCCACCAGTTGGCGGGCCCCAGCAGTCGGCAGAGAAGACGGCGACCTGAGAGACAGATGGCTGGGACCCGCGCCCAGCCGGATTACCACTGTATCCCTGGGTGGCAGGCCTATATAAGCCCCCCGGGGCACCCATGCATGGGGGATCACTCCTATTAGACTAGACCAGATCATATAGGAAGGAGGGAGCTAGCCTCACCTTCTCCTACCTCCAGAAAACAGCTCAAGGAGCAACCTTGTACTCACTTTGCCATAGTGATCATGCGGAGACCCCGCAGAGCAGCAGTAGGGGTGTTATCTCCACGAAGAGCCCTGAAGCTGGGTAAGATTCGCCGGCGTGCATGCCTTCGCCTCATCCCGTTTCCAGGCACCGGCGATGTTCTACTCGCCACCACCATGATAAGCCATCCTTTGGCATGTGTCGCATCCAACCCCCGACATTTGGCGCCCACCGTGGGGCATGGTGCACCGCCGTCCGGAGACCTGCTCTGGACGGGAACCCTCTTCCTCTCTAGCGAGCGTAGCCAGCTCGGTACGCCCGATGGTGCTTGCCCCGACGCGCTGCAAAGCGTCGACGACGCCTGTGCGGCGAGCGGCCTCGCCGATCTTCTCGGCGAGGCTCACATCTCCGACGAGCCCGCATCCGATGCGGGCACAGGCTGCCCCGAGCGCCGCCTCGTCAGCCTCCTCGACCAACTTCACGTCTCCGGCGAGCCTACCGCGGACTTGGAGTCGGTCGACTCCACCGACCCAATGCTTGTCGATTCCGACACCGCGTCGCTCGACGCCTTCCCCTCCAACGTGATCGTCTTCGACGATCCTCTCCCACGAGCCGACAGTGGCGGCAGCACCGTCACCGAAGTGCTCGTCATCAGCCACGGCGCCGCCTCCGACGAGAACGCCAGCGACGCCCTGCAGGCCACTTTGCACGATCTGTCCGCCCCCATCCCGGCGGACGCTGACACCGAAGCACTGGAGGCACGCCGCCTTGCCCTCCGAGATCGCCACCATGAGACGCCTCACGGAGGCCCACCAGCGCGAAGTCGACCGCGCCGCCTTCGGCACGCCGCCTCCAGAAGGGCCAAGCCGAGTCGGCGTCGTCAAGAAACGCGGTGCGGCCATTGCCAGCATGCTGGGAGCAGACCGCCCGGTCTATGCCACGCCCCTCGAGAACCTACGTGCCGCCCAGTCGATCGTTGATGAGCTAAACGGACTGGGGGCCGACGAGCTCCCCTACATGACCAGACACATCCAGCAGCTGATCGATGCGGCCGCAACCCGGCATGAAGCCGACGTCCGAGCTGGAATCCCCCCTCGTCGAGAGCACGGCGCGACATCGCGTACGCCGACTGCGGGTGGCGCCTGTGCGAGACAAGAGAAGGAGCCGGCTGCTAGCCGCAGTCGGACTCGTATTACCATCGAGCGCGACGCAGAAGGCCGCCCCCGAGGAGTGGAGCAACGAGGCGACCTGCCGCCTCCTCCGCCTCGCGGGGAAAGATATCCTACTCAGCCGCCTGTCGAGCATCCGACTCTCAGCGGCCGACTTGGTCGCCGCGAAGGAGTCGGCGAGAATGACGCCCGCCATCGGATCGACTGCCTGGCGCGATCCCTGGCCCTGGAAGAAGAAGATGATGTCGGCCCGCCGTGTTTTGGCCCCCGCATCCGCGATGAGCCCTTTCCAGAAGGGTTCATGCTCCCAAGAGACACGCCCCAAGTACAACGGCTCCGTGAAGCCGGAAGATTGGTTGATCGACTACTCCACCGCCGTTCGCATAGCGAATGCCAATCGACGTGTTGCCGTGAAATATGTCCCCCTGATGCTCCAAGGCACGACGTGCACCTGGCTCAACAGCCTCAAGCCTTGCAGCATCAACAGCTGGCTAGACTTCACCGAAGCCTTCATACGCAACTTCACCAACACATACAAGCGGGCTCCCAAGCCCCGACAGCTCTCCTTGTGCATACAAGGGCCCAACGAATCGACCCGCGACTACCTCACGCGTTGGGCCGAGCTCCGCAACTCTTGCGAAGGAGTGCACGAGGTCCAGGCCATAGAGTACTTCACCGCCGAATGCCGCGAATGCACTCTCCTCAAGCACCGACTCCTCTGCGACGAGCCGGTAACCCTTGACGAGCTACTGGTCATCGCGGGCAAGTATGCCACGGCCGACTCCTCAATGAAGACCGAGCTCCGGGTAGACGCCTCCGGAAAAGTACTGACGCCGGCTCCCAAGACGCCAGCTGGAGAATCAAGCCAGCGCCCATATCAGAACGATCACAAGCGCAAGGGCCCTCAGCCGACTTCCAGTAGTTGGTAGGTGGCCACGATCGAAGAAGAGCAGCCTGAGGGACAGCCGGCTCGGAAGAAGCAGAAGGGCGGCAGGCCGGCTTGGCAGCCGGCTTTCTCCTACGAGCAAACTCTAGATGGTCCCTGCAAGTTCCACAGCGGCGCCAAGCCGTCGAACCACACCACCCGGAAATGCCACTGGCTCACCCGAATCGTCAAGGGAGACGGCCTCCTACCTCCCCCGCCTGCTGGTCCGCCGCCTCCACCGCCGCCCCAGCAGCCGGCTGTCAGGCCAGTCGGCGCAATACAAGACGTGTACCCAGAAGAGCACGGAGCCTATGTGGTGTTCACCAGTGTGGCTGACGATCGGCGCAGCCGGCAGCAGCAACAGCAAGAGGTGAACGCAGTAGCATCAAGTACTCCAGAGTTTATGCACTGGTCCGAGAAGCCTATCAGTTGGAGCAGAGCTGATCACCCAGAGGTGATGCCGAGTCCGGGCTCCTACGCCCTGGTCTTAGGTGCCACTTTTGCCACAGATAGGCGGGCCGCTCGCTTCTCACGAGTGCTGATAGACGGAGGCAGTAGCATCAACATTCTGTACAAGGATACCATGCAGAAGTTAGGAATCAAGCAAAGACAGCTTCAGAGCAGCCGGACTGTGTTCCACGGCATTGCTCCTGGCCTTTCCTGCTCACCAATCGGCAAGATCCTGATAGACGTCCTCTTTGGGGACAAAGATCATTTCTGCCGAGAGCCA